CCCAGCTGATCCACGTGCCCGGGCCAGGCCGCGATCAGCCATCCATGAGATGAGCTTTCTCGCCGCGCCTCCTCCCTACATCAGCCGCACATCACCAAAATGGTGTCGTTCCTCCTGTTTGCGGTCAGTCTCGGCGTCGCGTCCGTCCGACTCCCTGGCAGTGAATTTGAGGTCTGATGAATGTAAAAGAAATGAGTGTTTGCCGAAAGCAGAGATGACGTATGTTGACCTACAATGAGGGAGTGGGGCGCCTGGTGGATAGGCAACGCACCACACGCCTGTTGAGTCGGTTGCCTATGCTCCGCTTCACAGGGGCTGAAGCCGATGGTGGAGTTTTCTGATTATTTTTCTTTCTTAAGTTTGTCGTATGATTTATCGGAATAAAAATGCGCAGTTAGTAGAGTCGAAAAGGGGTCGAGCTGGAGGTCTAAAATTTGTGGGGGTGGCGGGCGCTCAGGGGGAATTATGGGCATCCGGCATCCGCTTCTTCCGGTCCAAACTCAATATAAAGCTGGAAGCGGAAACTTTCCATGAATGCGGTGGATGTTAAACCTCCCGGCCGACCACAATCGGCCAAATGACGCTGTTGCTCTCGCTGAGCGAGCGGGGACCCGCCATTTTGATGCGCCTCACATCTGGGTCTCACATTTTCTCCAGCTCCAGCTGCGGCACAAACCACACCCACAGAAATTAATTGAATTTCAGAAAACTTTTCACGGTTTTCACCTTACCCTGGTGTTCTCGCATTACATGTTATCATCCTGCAGATTTGGCAATTGACAATCATATTCACAGTGTTACTTTTTGTGAATACACTTGTAACAACAGTTGTTAATACAAAAGCTCGAGGAAATAATGTGTGTTTGTGTGAGCAATGATCGAGTTTTCATTAAGCTCTGTTGTCCATCAGTCCGTACGGTGAAGAATAATAGCGAAAATCTAGCTAGCAGCTATGTTGTGTGTTTGTCATAGGACTGGGCGACTGGGCGTTGGTGCGTTGGGATGTTTCATCCCAAAGCTCCTCGCCGAGATCCCCGAAAGATTGAACCGACAGGACATGGGAAAGGGGGTGGGGGCGGAGGATGCTATTGCTGGGGTGAACCCTGTTCTGTCTCCTCGATGTATCCAGCAAAAAATATCACGCCTAAAGAAATGAAAAAATATTTTAGCACCAAAAAGAAGTGAAACCGTCCTCTTTTTAAAGCCGTCGCACCAACCACCACGCCACACCATTCAAAACCGTTTAAAACCCCGTCTCTTGTTCTCAAACCCTGATGCATCACAAGCTTATTCATTACAAGTCGATAGTAAGACTGAAAAAAGGGGGGGGGAGTGTTTCAGAACTAATTGGAACTGATTGACCTGAACAGAACCGTCGAAAACAGTTTTATCGTTTTACTCGCGCAGCATATGAAAAGACTTTTGTCCTCTTTTCCTTTCTATAGTCATGACCACCGACCTGTTACACGCTCAGTTTTGCAGGACGCGGGCCCTCCGCCCTCTCTGCCCCCTTGGGCTTTGCCACTCCCGCAACCCCTACCTCGCATTAAGCGCTAAAGGCCGGGCCGCGGTGAGGTGCGCGGGGTGCGGGCTTTCTGTAATTATCATTATTGCACACCGCACTCTGCAGACAGGGAGAGAGTTTCACCCGCAGTGATTGTGTTACACAGGACGATCACAAAACTCGCAGCGACAGGTCCCCGGGGTTAAGGTGAGAGGAGGGGGGGGGGCTACGTCAGATCCCCCCACTCCCACCGCCTCCATTTTTTCTCAAGGGCCTCTCTGAGGAAACTGAGTTTATTGTACTCTGTGCTTAGTTCTGGTTTCGGTCAAGTTCAGTCTACTTTAACCCTGAACTCAGTTCTTAATTTAAGGATGGGGTCTGTGGCAATGTGAAAAAGGCTCAGGAGCGGGCTTGCAGAAACTCTGCGAAATAAAAACTGTACACTGTTAAAAGTGACAGGACACATACAGCAATTACAAATTGTTAAGTACAAATATTATTTTGTGCATTTTCTTTAAAATTTTCGTCGTGGATTACACGGGATTACACGTTTGTACACAGAGGATTACGGGCGCGGTGGCCCAACCTCGCCCTCACTGTCATTACCCCTTCATCAGGGAGGCCCGCGCCCCCCTCACGCCCCACGGCGCCGTCGCGGCGAGACGACAGCCAACGCCGCGGGATGATCCCGGGGGCAGCCCCGCAGTACCAAAAAAAGAAAAAAAATCCTTTGATGGGGGTCCCGGGGCCTGGAAATGAGTTCCCCTTCCTCGCCATTCTCCTGCTCGTGCCCGCCGCCCGGGCCCAGGGCTGAGCTGCTTTGTGGCGAGCCCGCCGCGGGAGCCCCGCGCCGAGCCGCCCCGCCCCGCCCCGCCGCCGACCCCGACCCCGTGAGGTCCACGTCGGCCGGGATGAAATGCGCGAGGCTCGACCCGGGGTTCGCCGCGCGGAGGGGTCGTCAACGAGCGGGGCGGTTGTGGGGGAGGGGAGGGGTGAGCGTCGACAAAGACAGCCTCTGCCGCCTCCGTGCGCCCGCGCCCGAGCACCACGCTGCTGTTGCTGCTCGAGGACTCGCGAGGCCGCGAGCTCCACCACACTGTACTGGGCTGCCCCCCCCCCCTCCCCCTTCCCCATCTCAACCGATAATGCAGTGCTTGAGAGTCGGGCTCGGGCGGCCAAGGGCCAAGGGGGACTTCCACGGCGGGACGGACGGACGGTCATCCTCCAATTCCCAATGAGGCTTATTTGCGTGGGGGTTTTAGGCAGCGAGGCGATCGGGAGTTGGGGTGGAGGAAGGGGGGTGGTGCAAATCCTTTCTCTCTCTTATGCCGTCCAAAGGGGTACTCTAGGCCGGAAGTTGCCCGACCCGGAAGGAAAGTACCCCTGTTGTGAAGCTCGGCGCGGGTGGTAGGGTTGAGACGAAGAGTATGGGAAGCTGGCTCGGATGACTTTCCAGCTCCCCAGCTCCAGAATACCCATTTTTCTCCCTTGTCTTCGCGTCGCTTCGTCGACAGATGCGCGGGTGAGGCAAGGGGCAAGGACGGTCTACCTCATCAAAGACGCTGGTACTTCCCCAAACTCTCAGTCACGCACGACGCGCCGCCCGCCCGCGGACCGCCCAGTTAAGAGCAACCCGAGACGATTACACCGATGATGGA